CCACCTTTTTACTATTTGCATATGATATGATAGTATACATAAGTGACCCCAAACATTCTACCAGGGAACTCCTACAGCTAATAAACACCTTTAGTGAAGTGACTGGATAAAAGATTAACTCAAATTGGACATTTGGGGTGTCTTTATTTTCCAAATTGATCCCAATGTCACTGAATGTTTGAACACAGTTGTTTAAATGCTGATTTTCAATTATTTTCAGATTTCCATGGGAATGAAATTCCGAGTTTAGGTGATAATTCTGTACTAAACTATTTAGAGAATCATTGAACTCTTTCTTTTTTCTTATACCAATTGCATTTGTGATTTCTGACTTTGGGCTGATAGCCACCCTAGAGGGCAGGAATTTGCATGTAGTTTTCCTTACCTGATATGCACATTAATTCTCCCCTCGGCTATCTGGATGAAATCTTCGTGAAATGATTTTAAAGAGGCATGATAGGCTAAGACACACTGTGGTAAGGCAGGCCCACGACGGCACTACCACCACTACACTGCCTCTCTCTTCATCCACATGGGGTAGAACAGTCAATTGGTGTGTGTGTGTGTGTGTGTGTGTGTGTGTGAGAGAGAGAGAGAGAGAGAGAGAGAGAGAGAGAGAGAGAGAGAGGAGAGAGAATGTATGTGTGTATACATCCAAACATCATATATGTATATGTATGTTTGTGTGTGTACAGGTGTATGCGATTGCATGTATATGTGTGTGTGTGAGTGTGTTTATGGAAGCCAGGAGTCAATGTCGGGTGTCTTTCACAATTGGTGTCCATCTTATCTTTTGAAACAGGATCTCCCATTAAGGCTAGTGCTCACTGATTGGCTAAATAAGCTGTCCAATAAGCTCTGGAGATCTTCCTGTCTTCGGTCCCCTTCCAGTTCCAGGTTATAGACACATAAGACCACACCCAGAGTTTACATGAGTGCTGGAAATTCAAATTCTGGTTTGGGCAGCAGGCACCTTACCCAAGGAGCTAGTGCCTCATCCTCAGTGTCTCACTGCTAACGCCTCAATTCTCAGGGAGGGCTCCTCTAAAAGATGTCCCCATGATCAGACAAAGATGAACTTGCCAATGCATGATAATTCAACTACAAGCTATAATTTTTAAAAATATCCTCTTATACAATTCCAATCAAATGGCTGGTGCTTCTCAGAGTGAGCCATGGCCAGACCCAGCAGTGCCCATGGGAACTGTGAAATGCTGATTCTCAGGCTGCAACTCAAGCCTGCTGAGTTGCCAACTCAGTATCTGGGGCTGGGTCCAAGTATCCTGCATGTTAAGAAGCATCCAAGTTTAACCAAAGCTTGGGCATATTTGAGAGTTTTTATTTGAGAACAGATGAATCCTGGGGAAATCTATAGATCAAGGATCAGGTACTTGTAAGTAATTTGTGTTGTTTTCTGTTACAGGGACCTGTAAACATTTAACTCAATCTTTACAAAGGAACAACGGCCTGAGTCTCGCAGGACAAGTTCATATGCATGCACGCAGGCATGTGCGATGAAACAAGTGTTTCATGAAACCATCTATCACCTTATTACCTGTGATTCATTCTGAAAATTTGCACCCTACTCTATTCCATTTCCAAAAACACTGGGCTAAGCCCACTGAATCGATTTTGAAACCCTCTAATGAATCACAACCAGAGTTTGCAAAGCACCAATCTGTAGCAATCAGCTGAAGCAGAAAGCTCAATTGAGGAAGTACAAACTCAGAGAAAGAGAACATAAAACACTGCAAACTCATCGTTAAACAAGGCCGTATTTTTAGATATTCTTAAAGTGTTTGCATCTAGCTGGATTTAGAACACTTTAATTACAATAGTGATCTCCAAATGAAGTGAATGTCATTTAGCCTGATTACAAATCTCATTAGCTTCAACAAACAATTACGGATCTTGGGAGGGCACGGGGGCACTCGGCTCTCTCATGCGGCTAAAGTGAAGGCCTCAGGGACAATCTCCCTTGAGCCGTAGTTTCTTCATCTAGGAAACAGGACCAATAACAATATCTGTCTCAAAAAGCCAGACACAAAGGGTCAAAGGACCTAGGGACCTGACTTAGCAGGTTAAGTGCTTGCTGCATAAGCATGGGGACCACAGTGCAGATTCTCAGATGCCATCTGTAGTCCCAGCAAGTGGGAAGCAGACACGGAATCCCAGGAATAAACAGCTAAGCAGACTTTGGGAAACTTCTAGCCCTAATTTCGGTGATGGATCTCCATCTATGTATAAGGCAAAGAGCAACTGGAGAAGATGTTCAACGTCCACCTCAGGTGTCCACATATGTGTGCATATACCCATACATACACATGTGAAAATGCATACACATACAAGCATGCACCGAAAGTTGCTATAAATATTCATTGAGGTCATTCATAAAAATAATAATTGAAAATAAAATGCCATTGAACAAATATTATTACCACCATACAAGAACAGTGAAGATATTAAAAGAAAGCCGCAGGCAGAAGCATGCATGTGTGTCTGTGTGTTATCGTAAATCCAAATCCAATAATTACTTGGTACTATCTTTCCTTTGATGAACAAACTTCTGTTTCCAGGTCTTTAGATTGGCTCTGTCTATGGCTGTCGATGTCGCCTGCTTGACTGCCTACTCATGTACTTCCTTCCTGTCTAGACTTGAATCCACCATTTCTTGCTCAGAGCAATTTTTACCATCTTGTCTCCACAGTTGACTACATCCTCACTCCCAAACCTAAGGCTCCCACCCCCTGCCTCCTACAGCACCAGAATCTTTATGTACTGTGCTCTTTTGTCTTGGTCAAATAGACTCTACTTATACATTTCTCAGCTCACTTCTAAAACCTCTTAAAGTCCGCTTTAGTCTCTTTTATTCATTCTGTAACCACTATATATGCATATAAATGGATTTACTGCATGCCATATGCTCTGTGATGTTAAAAATTCATATTAGAAATTAAGATTAAAATAAACATATATTTACCCCAGTCAGATTACCAAGGTAGACTAGATTATCTGACTAATTGAAACTATTAGAACAATAGATACCATGGGGTGGAGAGAGGGCTCAAAGTTTAAGAGCACTTTCTGCTCTTGCAGAATACCCACGTCCAATTCCTAGCACTTGTGCAGTAACTTACAACTGTTGTAACTCCTGTCCTAGATGATCTGACACCATCCTCTGACCTCTGAGCACCACAAAATACACATAAATATATGCAGGCAAAATATGTACATATATTATTAAAATAAATCTTAGAATCATTACATCATATGAATTTACTGCTTTTTGATAAATTTGAACATTGTGGAAACACACAAAAGCATTAGTCAATGTCTGTGGCATCACATGCTTATTACAGGAGTAACCTGGGAAGACTTACATGATAAGAGTACTTAAGCCTTCCAGCCCTTAGAGGGAACATTTCCTATAGCATGTTTAAACTAGCCTGCCGTTTCCATAAACCCGAAACTGCGTAACCATCAGCAAATGTCCCAACATCCTTTGAGACATGAAAAAAGTGCCAAACCCAATAGGATAAGATTTGCCAATTCTGTTTGCACACTGAAGTCACATGCCTGGACAGACACAACATTTGTTGGAATAACACAGTTACCTGCAGTTCAGGGTGCAGCCCCTTCGGGCTTGCCACCATGTTTGCTTACAAAACATTTCTATCCTGATTGCTGGTTTGAGGCAGGTGGAAGACTTTAAAAATGATTTTGTCTAGGAATGGATATTGACAAAGATGCTTACACCTACCCATTGGGCAGAGAACATGAGTCCTAACCATCTGTGCTCTCCACTGCTGAGCGAGAGGAAAGGTATGGGAATGCCTTAGACCTGAGAGAGTTCTATTTCAATTACTTTTAGGGTATCCAATTATTTTCTTCCATCTGATGATCCACACACACAGGCCTTTGCCATTTTTAACTCCTATTCTTTTCATAAACTGGTTAGGCTTTGTGAATATTCCAGCCGTAAGTAACATGAAAATCAACAGACCTTCTTGCATCCAATTAAATTTTATTTATGAAAACAGATGTGGTGGTTTTGGTCTGAGAACAACAGCTGATGACCTTTGCTTTCAGGATGTTTGAAATTTTAATTGTGCCCACTAACACAAATCGTAACAGCACGGAGCGACACAGAACGTGTTCTCCATCTCAGAAGCTTATCCTGCAACTGCCATCCAATTACCACTTCCCAGAAACTCAAAACAGACAGTCCTGTTTCTATCTAAACCACGCGGGCCTGTTCAGACGCGTGCGGCCACGAAGTGCTATTAAAGCCGCCAAAGCCTCACATATATCAAAGCTATCTACCTGACTTCCCAGCCGCGTCTGCGCACTGCAAATGTGGAGCATGGCAGTACCACGCTGGCTTCCGCAGTTACGCAGGATGCCATGGCTTATTTGTCTTGCAGCGGGGGGGGGGGGGGGGGGGGGGAATCCATTCTTGCTGCTTCTGAAGGCCCCTCTACACTCTGCAGCTGATCAATGAGTTATAGACATATCACCCCAGGCTGAAAGGTTTGGTTTGTATTAAGTCTTTTCTGTTCAACTGGATGGGTTTAATCAAGGAGCCTGCTTCAGCCACCCCTTCTGGGTGTCCCCTGATGTTGTTAAATGAATGACGGATGAAAGGCCAAGACGAAAGGGTGAGGACATTTGCTCCAGGGCTAGGACTGGAGCCTGAGTGTTAGTCTCAGACTACCGAGCAGTGGCTGAGGTGGAGCTCGCTGCACAAATCTCACCCTGCACGCATCAAAGTCCTGAGCTGTGGTGCTGAGAGATCACCCTCAGTTATGAGCTCCCAGAAGCCCATGCTCCCTCCGCACCTCTGCTGAGCAGGGAGGTTTATGTCTACTGTCAAACTCATCACCCAGACACAAGCCGTGCCTGGGGAAGGGAGGGTACTGACTTCTCCTATGAGCAGCCAACAATGAACTCCCCCGGGTATCCCATGTTAAGGAAAGGAAAACCAAACAGACAGTACTTACTTGGAAGTGTTCTCAAGTATTCCTTTGACTTCATTCATTTCTTCTTTCCCAAAGTAAACAACGGTGAGATGAACTCTTCCATCCTGCTGGATACACATCTCCCTGGAAAACAAAACACATACTGTCTGGTCCTGTCTGCACATTTACAGGGGGACACAAACCAACCCCCCTTCCTCCTCCTTTTTCCTCAATTTGTTTTTTTTTTTTGTTTTTTGTTTTTTTTTTTTTTGGCAAAGTGTAAGGAGGCTTAAAGTAAACACAAGACAGAAAAGAAGGGCACCTTGATTGGCCACTCAATTTTTATTTATCTTATCAGGAAAACCATTAAATTTAAATTTGCTGATGTGACTCCTTAGAGCCAACCTGCTGCTGTAATAGCCCCCGCCGAGGGGGGGGGGGTTGCTCAGGCTGTCCTGGGAAGGGTTCTGAGAAGTCTCTGGTGTATTAAGACATTAGTTCTGTGTTACATCTGAGAAACCTAATGTCCAGAGAGGGTGAAACAAGAAACCCTGTCTGTGAATGCTTCCCTGGTGTGGGACAAACAACACAGTCTTCATTCCCAAATGGTCCACAGTAAACCCTCACTGTTCGGTTCATGACCGGAGAAAGCCTTGGAAAGAGCTCGTGTCATCAGGACTGTCAAAAAATTCCAGCACCCTGTGTGCACCCTGCCCTTCCAGGCAGGTGGAAGAAATCTCACTTTTCAAGAACTAATGAAGTACACATGTAAACCCTAGGCCTAAAGGTCTGATCGAAAAATTTCTGTACAGCTGGAAGGAGCCAAGACCTGGGGAGAGGATCCTGGGGTCTAACAGTATGATGTAACACTGAGCATTCCCATGGTCCCTGCAGAGAGTCTTTACCTATTGACAGCAAAATCTCCACACACAGAAACCACTACTGCCCCATCATGCCACTATAATCAATCATCCCAGCGCCTGGTGACTCAGGATCCTGACAAAGTAGCCATTTGGTTCAGCTCTCCCAGGGCCGGTCTTTGGCTCTTGACTGGTCTAGACTGAATCCCCACCAAAGCCTATGTGTTGCCCGCTGTGTTCAACTCTTTCAAACATAAGATCTAGCTGAGCTGCTCACTTCTCTGAGGGTTTGCTCTTCAAATTACTCGTGTGTAACTGTATGTGTGCAAATGTAAATATATACGCACGTAATCTTTATGTGTACAGGCAGGCATGCATCAAACATGAGTTTGCTAGTAAGGAGATAATGTGGACTGGTGGTTCCTGGGAGCCAATGGGAGATAAATTCCGCCAGTGGGATGATAGTTTGAGATATCTGGGTACTTCCTGTGTCCTCCTCCTGCTGTTGACATTCATGCAATAATGCAAACCATAGATTCCAGAAATACCTTGGCCCTACTTACAAAGTTTAAAGAATGAGGGTTTTTTTTTTTTTTTGTTATAACATCAAAAAGGGAGAACATCCTTGGGGTTGCTGGGAAACATCAGAAACAACAGAAAACATGGTTCCTGCCCTAGAAAAATAGTATTAGCAGATAAAATGAGCTCAGATGATGTCATCAGACAATAGAACTTTGGGAGCATGGCAAGTTCTCAGGCTGGATTGGGACTTGGAAGGTGGGAAGGGTTCAGAGAGGTGGGATCAAGAAGGAAGAGGCTTGAAGGGAAGGCCACCCTGACACCAAGAGAGGTGCACATAAGTCTCAGCCTGGCTGTAGGTGTGCTTCTGACTCTGTGCACATAGGTCCCCTTGCCAAGCCTGCCAGATAAATGGAAGTAAATCAAGAACACTGATCAAGTGCTGGAGAAATTATGCTTTAAAATTGTGTGAGTGTGAGTGTGGGGGGCATGCAGGGGACCCATCCCAGTGTGAGTGTGGGGGGCGAGCAGGGGACCCATCCCAGTGTGTGTGGGGTGTGCAGGGGACCCATCCCAGTGTGAGTGTGTGTGTGTGCGTCTGTGTGTGTGTGTGTGTGTGTGCAAGAGACCCATGCCAGTGTGAGTGTGAATGTGTGGGGCATGCAGGGGACCCATCCCAGAATCAGGAGCAAGTCACCTGCTGGGCCTGAATCAAAGCCTTCTGTTTTGCCTCTCTCTCTCTCTCTCTCTCTCTCTCTCTCTCTTTCTCTCTGTTTTTTTCATTCTTCTTGAAGTTTACTGATATGGTTGCATTTGTATTTTAATTTTAACCTTATTTTTAAATAAAGTTTTTACTTCTGTGGTTTTAGTGCAGTTTTTAGTTTCTTATTTTGAAATTCCTTTTATTTTATTTTATTTTATTTTTTTTATAAAGGAAAACAAACTATCTTTTTTTTTCATTTTAATGCTAATTCCAGTTCCCACTGCCTCCCCTCCTCCCACTCCTTCCACCTTCTTCATACCCTGCCCCTATTCATTCCTTAGAGGGGGTAAGGGACATTGCTTTGGGGAAGGTCTAAGGCCCTTCCTACTATATCTAGGCTGAGCAAGGTATTCATCCAAAGAGAACAGGTTACCAAAAAGCCAGTACAAGCAGTAGGGATAAATCTGGTGCCACTGCCGGTGACCCGTCAGTCTGTCCCAGTCATGCAATTGTCACCCACAGTTTGATTTTATGTAATCCCAGCACTAGGGAGGCAGAGGCAGAGGGATCTCTGTGAGTTCAAAGTCAGCCTGGTCTACAAGAGCTATTTCTAGGACAGGCTTCAAAGCTACAGATAAACCCTGTCTTGAAAAAGACGAAAGAAAGGAAGGAAGGAAGGAAGGAAGGAAGGAAGGAAGGAAAGCTAGCTTTTTTAAAAAATGCTCCTTGGTGTTTTTAAATCAAGGGAGAGGGGTCAGGCCCAAGCCTTCAATGGCCAGGTCAGGGATCTCAGAAAGGCAGATCCAAGCTTGCGCTGGTGCTGGCCTCCAGCTCTCCACTGCAGGTCTGTGTGGATGCTTTTCTTCATTCACCCAACAAGCATTTGCTGACAATATACCACATGCTAGACTCTCCCAAAGCATCTTAAATGACATGCAGGACTGGCGTGTCTGTCCTTGAAGAAGTCTCCTACCTCCCAGGCCAGACTCAAGTTGCCTACAGTGGAACCATTCAATGCTCCTTGAGAACATGCGATTGTGCGGAGCCCATGACTGCTGTCTGAATGGTTTTTGCTTTTTCTCAACTTTTGCCCATTTGACTACCTCACCCTTGAGAGTGTATGGGACTATGTTTGGTTAGATGCCCACATGCAGATATGTCTTCGTTTCAAAAACAAGAGTTAAAAGGAAATTGTAAATGACACACTCAGCTGCATACAGACTTCTAGCTTTACAACGTTAACTACTTGTATTTGGACAATGCTGTCTGTATGATTGCGATGATAGGCCTGCTGCTGTTAGTGTGTTCCCAGGGACACTGCGGTTGCATGGGAACTCAAGCCTCATGAGCCCTTCTCAGGGAGCACATTCTGTCCAAAAACGCTTCCCGTTACCTCAACAGGCCCAATTCCTTGACCTCAAACCAGAAACTGAAAATTCTGTTTCTATACCTCTCTCTCTCTCTCTCTCTCTCTCTCTCTCTCTCTCTCTCTCTCTCACACACACACACACACAAATCATACTTATTAGGAAGCTTTTTCTATAAAACACTGTGTTCTTCCCCAGGTCACCATCACACAGAGTGCACTGGCTGTGGATGCCAGGACTCCAGGGGAATTGATGTAGCAGTGGGGGTTAGGCACTGACAGTGAGCACAGTGACAGCAGAAGCTCTGAGGCAGTTGCTTCAGTTGTCACCAGAAACAGGGGCATTGCCTTCCTCCGTAACACTTGGCTAGCAGTGCACGCTAAACACCTGTCCTTGCACACTAAGAACACCAGGAAAGGCTGGAAGAATCATGGAACATTAGTGATCTTGTGTTGGGGGAGAGAAAGCAGAAAACTGTGTCAGGAATTTGGGGAATATCAGCCTTTATTGCCCAGGCTGAGTGGCCTGGGGAACCACCATACTGTGGTTTTCATGACAAAAGAATCCATGTGATGGAAGCTTGACTTTCGGTGTGATGATATTAGGAGATTACGTCACCGGGGCCACTGCCACTGGAAGGAGTTACTTTAGGCTTTTGTGAGACCTTGGTGTGCTCTGTGTATCACCCAGCCATGGTGATCCAAACCTATCATTCCAGCATTTGGGAAACACAAGTTCCAAGCCAGATCCTGTCTCAAAAGAAAAAAAAGAAAAAAATGGAAGGCGAAACAAGAGAAATGGAAAGGAGAAAGGGAGTGGGAAGGACAGGGGAAGTGGGTAAGGAAGGGGGAGAGGGAGGGAAAGCAAGAAAAGTTCAGGGAAAGGAAAAGAGAGAGGAGAAGAGATGGACGGGGGAAGAGGAGGGGAGGGAAGGGGAAGCGGAGGGCATCAGGGGTGAATGAGCTCTACAAGGCTGAGAAGAAGCAGAACACTTTCACAGCCAAGAAAAGGTTTAATCTCATTGCTACTCTTCGAAGTCAGTCTCTACTCAAATGATCAGGAATGGGAAAATCTATGAGGAACTGGAGTGCTTCATGCAAGAGCAATCCACCAGCCCCCAGTCTACCAGTGCCAATGGGCAGGAAAGTGCTTGGCCATAAAGGAATGCTGTAAGGAACAGATTCTGTCCTGGAGAGGGAGCGGAGCACTCCTGGGCTTCTCTGGCATCTGCTTTTATCATAGCGTTCTGTTTTGGGCTTGGTGCATCCTTGCCCTCATCCCTTTGCCAATGTGAACTAACAGACAATTCTACTATTCTATTATTTGGCTGTTCTGATCGTTGCTGAGGAGTGATGGTGGATTCTGGTCTGCAATCGAGCAACTTTCCCGATTCTCATTGCAGTACAGAAAACACAGCCAGTCTTCCAATGGACCATCTTCTGCTCTCTTGAATAGACATCACTATATGATCTGTAGCTCAAACTAAACACCTCTTCTATTAGGTCCCCAAGGACAGTTGTTTAAACAACATGACAGATGAGTTTTAACATTTCTTAGCTCGTCTGCTAAGACAGCTTCTTGGTGTAGCTGTGCTTTGTGAGTGGTGAGATGACTCACAGGAATGGGGTTGGGACATGGAGCAGAAAGCAGACTGTACTATGCAAAATAGCATGATTTCCTTAAGGAATACGGAGG